GAAATGACCAGAGAGCCAGGTATCTCCCGCTCGATGGTATACGGATGAATAAAGCGGGAGGAGGAGGCCCTCGTTCCGGCTGCCCCTTCACCAAGGCAGCTAAAATTCAAATAAAGACCTCCAGTTTCCGCTAACAAGCCGTAAGGCGAAGAAAACGACTACATGCAGATGGGATTCATCACAGAACATACCAAAGAGGGGTTGAACAAACGACATCGCAAACATGGCTTCCAATTCGCCCTGCAGTATGTGGAGAGCTCACGGGAAGCTCAATTGCTGGATGAGAGATAACAGGTGTAATATCATTATCTTTTCAATTTGTTCATAGACTCAGTTAAAATTTTGATAAAGATATGTTGATACATGATAGTATCCTAAATGTCATATTTTATGTTCTGATTATCTATCATTATTTACTTTTCAGATGTGACAGATAACATATCTATGAAACGGAGTGGCCACGTGACCTATAACAAGTGGGGTAGATTTTCATGCAGGGTGTTGGTGAATTCGCCGAAAAATAAGGGAGATTCAGTTTAGACAAATATTTTGAAATAGAAGAAATATTTCTCCCATCAGCACGTGGCTATTCTTTGACCCTTCCCAGAAACAACCATATCCGTGCATGATAACTGCCCGATGCACACATCAAGGGCAGTTACGAAATGGTTCGATGACCAAAATCACATGGAAGTCCTTCCGCGGCCAAGCAAGGCATGTAATTCAAACCCGATGAAAAAAAAAGGGAAAATATTGTCAATGTCGCTAATGAACGAACCTCCCAGTAGCTAACAGATCATGCTAAAAGGAATGGGGTGTTACGAAGGTAACCAGGACCTCACATCAGCACGTCATCTGTGTCCCGAGGATTAACTAAGGTTTTGAATAACGATAGAGTGTTCTTATAAGTATGACCGTCCCCACTATTGGTCTTTTTCTACATTTTTTGTCGTTTTACTTTTTCACAAGTAAACCGATTGTAAAACTATCTTCGAAACTATTAATCCTTTCAAATATTCGACTTATTGAATCCCTCGGCAAAGAAAAATGAAATAAATATACTTGTATGTGTTTACACACATTTGTCGACTACATATTGTGCGCGAGACGGGGTTCAAAATGTGTATGAACTATAAAACAAATGATTCTAAATAAAATGTTTAACAACTTCAGTTCCTCAGTATACGCACATGGACACAGTCATTGCAACCCTACTACGGTTTTGCGTTCAGTTGCTCTAAAATGATAAGTTCTGTTTATTGTATCGGTATTTGGATCAGGCGAAAAGAAAACAAGACATTTTATCAATTCAAGAACATATGAAGATATATGAAGACTTTGATTTTGTAACAAACACAAGCAGGCCATTTTTATCTACACCTACGCATATACTGTAAACGGATGTGCATAGACACAAAAAAGGAAATAAATATTTAATAAATGACCAATGCCTAGCGCGAGATGAACGGCCCATTTCATCAGAACGAACGTTTTTTTTCAAGATATTAGATATCGTATAGTGGAACCACCCAGCTAGTTGTTCTTCGAGTTGAAACAAGGAAACGTATTTTCTCACTTGTTTCTTCGATAGTGGTTGCGACTCTACAGAGAAACGCCATGACTTATGGAATACTATTAGCGAAAACTATTGAGATTTTATTAGAAACGAAATTTCTACGTTCCGGTCCTCATTACCGCTACACACACAGACACAGAGACAGACACGGATAGACAGACAGACAGACAGACAGACAGACAGACAGACAGACACACAGACACACACACACACAATGTTAAAATATCTTCATTGTAACCCTAACGCGGTTTTGTGTCCAAATTATGTTCTATAATGAATATGTAGCGTGTGTGTGTGTAGCGTCTATGGAAATGCAAAGTCAATACTTGGTAATGAGGACTGAATTATTGTAGTGAAAAATACACGTTTGCTTGTTTCAACTCGAAGAACTACAAGCTGGGTAGTTCCAAAGATGAAGATCAAAAGTCTAAGCAATCCCAATGAATTTGCTGTGTGATATTTAATATCTTGGAAAAAAAATAATTCTGATGGAATGGGCAGTTCATTTCGCGCTATACTTTCGTCATTTATTAAATATTTACTTCCTTTTGTTTGTTAATGCACATCCCTTTACAGTATATGCGTAGGTGTAGATTAAATGGTATACTTGTGTTTTGTTACAGAATCAAAGTTTTCATGCATTAGAATTGATAAAATGGCTTGTTTTCATTTTGTCAAATCCAAACATTGATTCAATAAAGAGAAAGTATACTGCTATCATTTTAGAGCAACTGAACGCAAAGCCGTTGTAAGGCTGCAATGATGACAGTGTTCAAGTGCGTATACTGAGGAAATTAAGTTGCTAAACATTCTATTTAGAATCATTGGTTTTAT